AACTAGTATCATCCACCGGCATTCATGCATTCACGGCTAAATGTTATCATGCATTATTTTGTTGAATTGCCATATCGTGCTGCCCTATTTGTATTGCTTGATTAGCTGTGATGTGATATTACTGTGCCTTGTGCTTGTTTGTTTGTGGAATTGGGATGAAGTTGGGTCACTGGGGTTTTTGGTTGAGACTGTTTCCTTGTTATATGGATCCTGATTCTGAATTTTCTGTTAGCCGGGTTAAATGGAGATCGGCGCTCCGTGTGCCCTACTTTCTGGATCTGTATGATAATGGAAAACCACGGGTTGGTCTCTTTGGCGCACCTGATAATCTAGATCTGATCGCAGCCCGCAGGGTTGCTTCCTGTTGGTAATAAAAAAAAAGAAGAAGAAAGAAGAGATTATACTGAAATCACAGGTTGGCTTTCTTTATTGGGCGCACCTGATAATCTAGTTTGATCGCAGCCCGCAGGGTGGCTCCTGTTGTGAGCGCCTGTGATCTAGATTTGATGGAGACGACCGGGTTGCTCCTGTTTGATAAAAAATAATAATAATTAATAATTAAAAAATAACAAAAAAGAGAGCAAGGACTGAAAATAATGAGTAAGGACTAGTTGTGTAATTTGAACCGGTCGGGCCCAAATAAGGGGGATCTTGGCTCCTGGTGCACACGTGAGACGGGATGAGCCATGTGGGAGGCAAACGGCTTCATCGGGGTTCGGTGATCCACTTACAAATTTCCCACGTGAATGTGATTATATGAAGGTGATAATACTTGTGATTGCTGTTGTATTGCCATTTGGTGTGACAACTTGCTGATCTATAATTAGAAAACGGTAACTCGGATAAAAATATTTAGCATCTGTGTGATTGTGTGGGGGAGAGGGTTACTAACCCTACTCATTGGTTTGGGCGTCCACCCTTGCTACTATTTTTTTTTTCAGGTAAAGAAAGAAAGGAAAGCCCTATGGGAGTTTGAGACACTTAATTGTAGAAGACTGTTAATGATGAAATAAACGATGTTAAATATAAAGGTAGAGTTTCCGCAAATTGTATTCCAGTTGGGTTGTAAATAAATAATGAAAAGTCCATATTAATATATGAATGATGGATTCCAAACCAAATGATTTGACACTGGATTTATTAAATTTAAAATAGGTTAGGATTCGAGCACCATTTCCCGTGGGCCGGGGCACTAGGATCTGGTGGGTTAAAGGCCCCCACGCCGAAGCCCGTGTAAGCTAATTTAATTTAAATTCACATTCTATTCTAATTTATGATTCAACTCATTTTACTTATTTATACATATTCATCTAATACATTATATATTTAATATGGACTTTATTAGATATATATTTAACAACAACTGGAATTACAATTGCGGAACTCCTCCTTTATTCATATTAAATATATGAACTGTATTTTAGATGCATATGTATAATAAGTAAATGGGTCTGAATCCATAATTATGAATAGAATGTGAGATTTAAATAAATTAGGCTTACTACGGGCTTCGGGGGCCTTAAGCCCACCCAGATCCTAGTGCCGGTCCGGCCCACGGAAATGGGTCGTGACATGACGATACTATGAAATTAATCTAATAAATCAAGAATTGCTCTACGTAGGCATAATATAAAATATAATTTTGATCTTTATATCATTTACTTTGTCTGATGAATTTAAGCTGAAATTTTATCAATAGTATGTAATTTTTTGGACTCCATCTGTTTTACACAAAATCTAAAAATAAATTGCTGAAAATTCTCAGCTCATCAATGTGCAAACAACAATATCAGTAATGGAAAATCCTTTCTTAAGTTTACAGATAGATATAAATGAGACTAAATTCAAAATTTCAAAATCCTATATATTTGTTTAAAATATATTTGAAAAAAATTAAAATCCAAAAGGTATAACTATCTTTATATTTATATATATATATATAATTATAATAAAAAAATACATCCAATTAAATCATAAAAAATTAAATTAAATTGATAAATTTCAAAAAAAAAAAAAGTAGAATAAATAAAATACTGGATAACAACAAAGCTCTTAAATTTTCTCTTTATTTCAATTTCAATATATAAAAGCTGAAAATAAAAATAATAGCAAATATGTCTAACTAACCATTTTTTTTATTAATTCAAATTTTTATATTCTTTTTTTTCAAAAATATTTCTTTAGAATTGTAAACTTTCCTATAGTCAAATACTATAATTTCGTAATTGTATTGTTTTTGTTAAATTAGAATTATAAAAAATTTTAAATACTATAATGTGTAAATAATCCAAATAACTCTAAATCAAAGATAAAGAATATATTTAAAAATTTTATTTTAATTTGTATTTAACTAATAGACTCTAATAGTAAATTATTTTATCATATTTTAAACATAATAAATTAAAAAATTTAAGTTTCATTTTCAATGCTTGATTTAAAGTGTTTAATTTATCTCACAGAAAAAAATATCATGTGAGGATCTGTAATTAAGAACATTAAAATCTATTAATTATAAAAATCATTGGACAATAATATTGCAAGGTCATAATTATAAAAATCATTGGACAATAATATTGCAAGGTCAAATAGAGAATATTTCAATTAAGGTTTTCAATTTACCTCATAAAAAATAATATCACGTGAGAATCTGTAGTTAAGAATTTCAAAATCTATTAATTATAAAAATTATTGGACAATAATACTGAAAGATCAAATAAAAAAGTTATAAAAATACATATTTTCTTGAATTAAAATACATAAAAAAATATAAGTAAAATGATATTTAAAAGGATAAAGAAATCTATTTTATCAACTTAAAAGACATAAAAAAATATAACTAAAAAAGGATCTTCAAAAAGATAAATGAATCTATTTTCTCCAGCTAGAATGCATTAGAAATCAAATTAAAAGGATATTTTAAGAATTTTACATTAAGCTAATGCTAGCATCGGGAATCTCATTATTCCTCTTCCTATCCCTACCTTTACATGCAGTATAGATAAGAATGAAAAATTTAAGAACATTTCAATAGGTTTGGGAATTAAATAATTATATATTTTTTATTCAAATCAATCATTATTATCACTGTTGAAAATTTGTAATTTCTAAATTACAGGGTTTATAATTAGAACTATAGTATTGAAGAATATGTGTTTTAGGTGAATTTGTCATATAATTTTTTAGGCCATTGTTTTTATTTAATATATTTATTAATTTCAATTTTGCCTACCCTGATTATATTTTGTGCCTTTGCCCCTGCTCTAAATAGAACCAAACTAAACAATAAATATTCCTCAGCGGTGACAGCAAATTTAAATTCATCAGAGACAATATAATATATTATAAAGCCCAGTAAAAATAACACAGCCCACTAGAGAAAGAATATCCGGAGAGAATACAAATTTAAATTCATCACTCTCTATCCATAATGATTGGTGTCCAACATGTGAAACAGACAAGTCAAAAAATGTAGCCGGGGAATCCGCTGTTTCGGCTACCACAAATAGTGTACTCCATTGCTCAGACGGAAAGTTAAATACATTTAATTTATCACGCTTGCTGACTTTTGATTTGAATATCCGATTAAAAATTCATTTAAAAAATTCTTTTCATGTCCCTTTTTTTTTTAATGTCCCTTAAATCTTAATTTCTTCTAATTTAAGATTTTTTTTCTTAAAATATGACTTTATTTTTTTTCTTTTTTTAAAAATATTTTGATTTTAAGTAAAATATACTTATTAAGTTCATTTTCAGCTCAATAGGATTACATCATCACTAGTTGATTTTCAGCTCATTGTCAGTTTTCGAGTCGATTTCAAAAATTCCAGTTTCAAAAATTCCAGAACTGCGGCCACCCTATATATTGCATCCTCAATGTTTACTTTAGTCTATCAAACACTTTAACTTATTAAATTATACGATAAAACACTGCAACTTGAAAAACTATTTTATTAAACAGTTGAACTTATAAAATTAGATCAATTAAATACCTATTATTAGTTGAAAAATATAAAAATTATTACCCCAAAAGAAAGCTAATTATACATCAAATTAATTTTTTGCACATAAAATTTTACGATCCTAAAAACTATTGTCATTAGTTGGAGAAATATGTAATATTATTAAAATTTGCAAGTTCAAGTATATGATAAATCATTCACAGTATTCAGGATATCACATTGTTAAATTTATAAAGTTCATAAGTGAATTTATGTATTCGATTTAAAAAATTTACAGTGACACCATATTTCATACAATGCTACTATTTGGTGACCTATTACTGCTCAAAATTAAGTTTTTCTCTTCTTTAGTCGTAATTAAAACATACTAATTCAAATAGGTAAAAGTTAAATATATAATTCAATATGAACAGAAACAAAATCTAAATCTTTAAATTTTAAAATTTTAACGTTATCCATTTGAATTAAGCCTACTGTACTATTTTTTATTCACTTATAAAGTTAACAATTAGTGGGTAATCATGTATTATTGTCATAGAACATTCGATAGAATAAGATTAATCACTAATGATAGCTCAAGATCGACTATAATTATTAAATCTTCTATTTATTATTTATTTATCTTTGAGAAAATGTCATCTTTTAATAAAAGTTAGTCAATTAGTTATTAATTTATCATCAAATGGTTAAGCCTTATTGAACTTTGTAGTGGCCATTAGGGTGGCCACCAACCCACTATATGTGTAACTCTTCCTTTGTAAACACTATTGGGCGTGTGATTACCACTAGAAAGCTAGCTAGTGGCTGCAAATTAGCACATACATACTTTCCATTTCCCATAATCTTCAATTCTTTCTTTTCCCTTCCCTTTATACACTTTCCCATCAAAGAAAATACTTTACTTACAAGGCTACAAGTAATCAAATATTACAATATGACAAAACAGAACCCACTAAAAAAAATTTAGAAAACTACCATTAAAGCCTAGAAAATTTATAGCCATGAATTTTCTTCCTTCAAAAACTATATAAAAAGCACCTAACAAACACATTTTCTACTCATTAATTAGTTCATTAGTTCTCTGAGTTAAGGAAAGAGATGACCACTCTTCGTTACATCTCCACTTCACTGCATATTGGTTTTCTTGTACTCATCCTTCATTGCATGGTTGGTTCTTGTCTGGATCCAACTCAAGGGTTTACAGAACTTCCCTTTAACCACTCCTTTTATTATATCCAAAAGCCATATGACTTGAAAGTCAGTGATCGGTATAGCTTTGAGGATGGAATCCATAAGTTTTGGGTCTATTCCACTGACAAGCCTTTGGCTAGAAGTAGTCCCACAAGGCCTCGTTCAGAGATTATTGTCAATGTAAACAACCTCTAAACCCTATTTTCTTTTGCTTGTTATCAACTAATTACTTTTAATTAATCATGCACGTTTTATACTGTATTAAACCTTATGGATTTATATAGACGAGAGTTCATTAGTGGGTGAATATTTTTGTTTGAAGCCAATCGATTTTATGCAAGATAAGTTTCGACATTCACCCATTTATAAACTTATTGTTGTGATCCATACGAGCATATAAACTTCAATAAAAAAAATACTTTCCAATCCTCGAAAAGTTTTTAAAATTAAACGTTCAGCTCTCAAATCGGATAAATTTGCAAATAAATTAATCATGCCCCCAAAATCTTAATATATTTTACTTTCAAACCCTATAGTTTAATTAACTTTCACTATATGTGTTTTGGCACAGTTTCAAAATTAAAAATTCAATGACCTTAACATGTAAGATACTTTGTAGATCAGTTAATAATAACGTTTTTCAGTACCATCTGCAGCATTTCAATTTTTTTTTTTTCATTTGTATCATTATAAAATTTGGCCTCCCCAAAGAAATATTAAATTCTGATTCCACCCCTAATACCATTTTTTTGAATATTTGTTTAACAGGGATATAATTATACTTCTGGTGTTTGGCAATTCGAAGGACAAGCATACGTACCAAATGGAACATCTGGTGTATGTATATTCCAAGTGTTTGGAGCTAGCCCTAACGCCACAATTACCACAACCCTAATGCTCAGAGTCTACAATGGCTCTCTAACATATTACACTGATCCAGTTCTTACTCCTGAAATTTACGACAGATGGTTTCAAGTAAATGTAATTCATGATATGGATGCTTCAAAAACTATGGCCTTCATCGATGGAGTCCTATCATATGAAGGAGTTGGGCGTGGAGGAGCTTTCCATTTCTTCAAATTTGGAGTCTATGCTCAAAAGAACGATTCCAATTACATGGAGTCTCGTTGGAAAGGAATCAGGATTTTCAGAAAATTTCCTGTTGCTCAGTCTCAAAAGAAGCTTCCCTGTCATAAAAAAAAAAGATTAGGATAGGGAGGTTGTGCCAAAAATAAAAAAATAAAATTTAGGTGGGGTTAAAAAAAAAACTCCATATTTAGAAGAATGGCAGTAATATCATCAAATATATATAATAAAAAATTATAATTTGCCACAATATGAACTATCCATGGAATTGTTTGTGGAAAATTTATTAATTACTCAATCTATTGTTCTTATAGATATAATTTGATAGTAATTATGTGTCACAATTCATGTATCCTAAAACGGATTTATTTTAAAAATTTAGTAATAGTACCAAACGATGATGATAATATACAAAATCCATATCCCATTATAAAAAATAAGTTCAAACTCTAAGCCGGATTAAGCTGTATTTATAATTAATGAGTGTGGATACCAATGGTTTACATAAAAAACAAAAACAATCCCAAATATATAGATTTGCCCTTCAACTTTTAAAAAATAATCCTAGTTACAAGCTGCTGCTGATTTCTCTGCAAATTGACCAAGTTACCCAAGCAAAACATGCCAAACCAACAGGGAGATTTTTGAACAATGCACAGAAGAGAAAATATACAGACCTAAAGATCCCGTAAACAACAACGCAAGATTGAAGTTTTTTTCGAGATAAGAAGAGAAAAACAAGAAAAATTGGATAAAATATCGTAGCTTTAGCTGTAAAAATAAAATCTAAGTAAGAAAGAGCTACTCCGTATTTATACGTAAAATATTTATAATTTTAAATCTAACTATTGTTTCATTTCATTTATTCAGTTTTTAACTTGTGTCTATCCACATAATTTGGTTTAACTTTATTTTTATTATAATTATTATAATTATTTATTTTTAGTAGAAAATTCTTATTTTCTATAAGAAAATCATAATTATTTTTCTATAAGAAAAATTCATAATTATTATTTTTATTATAATTGAATAATTATAATAAAATAAAATTATATATATTTATTTTAGAAATTACTATGATCGTTTTCATTTTTTAATTTGTAAATATTTCTATACAATGTTTTAAAAAAAAAACATAGATACGAGTAGATACTGAGTAGCTAATTATCAATTACTTTATAATTTTATTTATATTTTATTAATTATTGTTTTCAGTTATTTTTTTAGAATTAAAATAATGATGATTATTATTCTTGATAATAATAAAAAATTATAAATTAAATAATGAGCAGCTAATATAAAAAGCAAAACGTAATGCAACTTCTTAAATAATTAGTTGTACAAAAAATTTTAAGGGGTAATTTTTTATATTTTTACATAGATAATAACAATATATATTTATTTATTTTTAGAATTAGATAAAAAAATAATTAATTGAAAACTATATTGTGTTTCAGTTTCTATAGGTTAGATTATTAAAAAAAAAAAAAGAAAAAATTAATACGCAGTATATTCATGTACCGGCAAATAATAACAACAAAACTCTCTCTCTTTCTTGTTCTGTTAAAAAAAAAAAAAAAAAAAAAAAAAAAAAAAAAAAAAAAAAGAAAAAAAAAAAGAGAAAAAAAAAGGAGAGTGAGGAAAGAAAAAAAATAAAAAAAAGAAAATGGAGAGAAAAGAAAAGAGAGAGAGAAAAAAAAAGAAAAAGAAAGAGAAAAAAAAAAAAAAAAGAGAAAGAGAAAAAAAAAAAAAAAAAAAAAAAAAAAAAAAAAAAAAAAAAAAAAAAAAAAAAAAAAAAAAAAAAAAAAAAAAAAAAAAAAACAAAAAAAAAAAAAAAAAAAAAAAAAAAAAAAAAAAAAAAAAAAACAAGAAAGAAAAACTCTCTTAAAAAAAAAAAAAAAAAAAAAAAAAAAGAAAGAAAACTCTCTTGTTCCCTCCCCTTTCCTGCCCTGTCAATCGCCTTTCTACTCAGCTCTCTCTCTCCCTCTCTTATCTTTCTCTCTGTTCCGTTTGTGGAGAAACGCCGTTGAAGTTTAGGCGTGGTTACAAATTGTGAGTTCGTCATTTCAATTACAGTTCTCTCTGATTTTCCAATTCACTTCTGATATCTGATTTCTATATACGTTTTCTAATTTAGTATCAGAGTATCTCAATTTCTTTGGTGGAGTTACAAATTGTAAGGATTTTTATTTCCTGTTAAAGGATTGTGGAACCCTTCTCCAGGTATTTCTTTTTTGTCCCCGAAATTGAATTCTCTTTCTGGATTAACAATTATTTGTAACATGTGATTCATATTGGATTAACCGTAGATATTATTGTTTTGTTTAAAGTCCAATCTTTCTTAAATCGGTCTTTGTATCTTGGCAATAAGCTTCTACTAGGTGTTATGAGTGATAGTAGATGTCTTCTTATGAGTGGAAATGAGAATCTATTACTCATGCAGTGCAGTAATGCAGTAATGGCAATGGAAGAAATCTAGGAAGTCACTTGGCAAATTATTACTAATACAGATTTATCCTTGCTTTGAAATTCTACATAGTTGATTAGATGTAGTTCTATTTCAGTGTGGATCATAGCTATTGCTATCGACTTTCTAAATTTTGTAATTTCTTCATGATATGTAGGCAGACTATGATTAGTAATATTTACTAAAAGGTCCTATTACAGAGGGGCTGTTGCTGTTTTTTTTTTTCTCTTCCTTTTTCTTTCAGAATTAATTGTTATTGAAAATTAATTCATTTTGTTTTCTTTGTACACTAATTTTCCAATGAATAATTGCTTCTTGATTATACTATTCACAATGAATTGATGGGCTTTACAATTTTAATCCTTAATTTTAATCTTCATGCTATATTGGTGTTGCTATCGTTTTATGGATACGAGTATAGCATTGAGTAACATATGCAATTCATGTAAATTCTTGCTATGGTTGTTATAATTGTAATACGAGTGTGAATTGTATTCAGTTGGTTTGAGTTTCTGGAATGGTTCAAGGATTATTGTTATCAAATGTTAGGAATTGAAGGATGCAAACTCGAATTTTTTTTAAGAGGTAAAAAAAAAAAATTGCAACTGTATCTTGAAAAGTTTGGAATTAATTTTTTTCAAATTTTAGAAAACTTGAATCAATTATATAACTTTTATTAGGGATGACCAAAACAAATTTATTACTAATTTTCTGCAACAATATGGGATAAAAGATTTTTGACAATCTTTGAGTTGCTACTTATTGAAATTATATGTTGATCTGCTTGATCAAATTGCTAAAGCTTAAGTAATAATGCATATGTTCCTATATGTACACTAAACTTAATTGATATGAAGTGTTTAACAATCAATCTTCTTCCGCTCGTTAATTCCTAGTAGTATAGTCGAACGTTTACCTTATATTATAAGAGAAAAAAATTTATATTAAAAATTTTAAATGTCGATAGCCCCTCTAAAATTTTGTGATTAAAAGAAATAACAAAAGAAATGAGCATTTTTTTTGAGCTTGCAGTAACCTACCAATAGATTTGATTCTCAGTTGTTGTTGACTGTCTAAGTAGTTTCTGATTAGAGATTTTTTCTGTTTTAAAGCTCTTGAGGCAAGTATTTGGGTATATATTTAATCATGTTGTTGTTTGGTACTAATATGAATATTAATAAAAGATCAATTGATTGACTAGAATCAACCAGCATTTGATCATGATTATGCAGCATGCTTAGTGTTAGAATATATTAGAATTTTGTAATTATTAGAATATATTAGGCTGAGATTGTGCATATATTAGGTTGATATTCAGCCATAATTAGGAGATACTTAGGAGACTATTTTCCTTTTTAGGATTTATGCTAGGCTGAGATTGTGCATATATTAGGTTGATATTCAGCCATAATTAGGAGATACTTAGGAGACTATTTTCCTTTTTAGGATTTATGCTTTGTACCATTTATACCCTAAACTAATATGAGGAATTCATCAAGTTGATTGCTTGTTTCAAATATCTCTTCTTCCTTCCTTTTCACATGGTATCAGAGCCTAAGAAGGGCTAATAATTTCTTCCTTTTCTTTTCTTCCCCATTCTTCTTACTGTTACTAAATCCACCTATTTCTGGAAAGACCTAGCTCTCATTGCCCCTCTAGATTGCTTCAGCAGCTACCAGCGACCTCAGAGACAGAATTCTGGCGCCGGAATCCTCACTGACGATCACCATGTGCCAGCCTAACGATTCGGACTGCAATCCACGTGCCGGTGCGTGAACCCAGTTTCTGACGACTTTTTCGACCGAACAAATTATCAGCAAGGTCGCCCTCTTCTAGCAATCAGTTCTACCACCTTCACACTTCTCAAATCATCTCCATTCTGTCAAGGCACAACCAGTACACTCAAACCTTTTTAGCCGGTAACTTATCTGACCGGAACACATACAACAACAGGATTAGCTTCATTATTTCTCACTTTGCAGCCTCGATATGCTAGAGAACAGTGAAACTCCCAACTTCAGGTCTTTTCAAACCTCTTTTCTCAACTTCTCCTACTATCACTACTGTTAAATTGAAGGTAGTAGTAACTATATCTCCTAGTCTGCTTCAGTAGAGTCATGGTTTCTGGAACATGGTTATGATGACCATTTAATTAAAAGTGTTGATAATATTATTGCTACTGATATAAGACAAACTGGAGTAAAATTGATGCACAACTATGTAATCTTTTATGGCATGCCCGTGATACTAAATTGCTTGCTCTTTTTCAATCCTGCAAAACTTGTTGTAAAGTATGGACTAAAGCTACTCGTTGTATACTAATGATATACAGCATATATACAAAGTTGTTTCCAATATTGTCCATTTACAGCAAAATCAACAACATATGGTAAGTTAACTTGGACAAGTAGAAACACTGTTAGATGAGTTCAATTCTGTTACGCCCTTCTCAAATAGTGTTACTACACAAGACCAACAGAGAAACAAGTTCTTCATGGTTTTGGCCTTAATAGGACTTCAATCTGATCTTAATTCTATTAGGGATAAAATATTAACAAGTTCAGAAATTCCTACTTTGGAAGATGTTTCTGCACGACTTCTTCGAATTTCTGTTACTCCAACAACTAATATTAAGACATTTGTGCTGGCTATACAACGACAAGATGGGCACAGTGGTTATCAGAAATGGAAAGGCAAAGGATCCAATTCACATTGTACTTACTGTGATAAGAGTGGTCATACACAAGAAACATTTGGAAACTGCATGGTAACCTATCACAGAATCAGTCTTCCAACACTGGCAAATCTGTTCTCCATCTGACTCAGATGGGTGGAGATGGACTTCTGCTATTACCCAACTGAGCATTTAATGCTATTACCTTAATTGGATCAGACTATAGTGGGTCATGATTATCCAACATGGTTGGAATCATGTTGACCAGCAATTTACAAAAGAAACAATCGCTGTTATACAGCATTGTTTCAAATCATTCTATCCAGCATTACCCTGATATATTGATGTTTATCATCTCTTTACAAGATAAATTACTTGGTGAATTTTTTTTTTTTATTTTAGCTTGAATTATTTTGCCTAATTTGGATCAATAATAGATGATGGCACATAATTCTTTCTTCTTTATTCTCTCTTTAAATCCCCCAAAATTTCTGTTTGCTTTTTAAGATAAGTAGCAAGTTTTAGTACCCTTTCTTTTTCCCTCTTTTTTACTTGGAGAGTTACTGGCATCTTTTCTTTACGTGTAGTTGCTTAGTTAAAGTTACAAGATGCTACAGGGCAATGCTTTCTTTTTCTTACTTCTGTTTTTCCACAAACAGAATTTTCTTTTGATCTTTGAAAGAATGAGACAAAATTAAAAAGGAGCTTAAATTTCATGCTTCCATACTTCTCCTCCATTTTAAAAAGCGTTGGAAAGGTTTGTGTTTCATGGTTAGCTGTTAGTATATAAAGCACTAATTCTATTTTTGAAAGTAAGCCTTTTTCTAAAAAAAAAAAAATTGACAATGAGAGATATTTTCAAGGTTTTTACTTTCCCTCATGTCACTATAAAGTTCTTTCTTCATTTTCTTTTTCTTTCTCTGATGCTAAATGAAAGCTCTTTTCTGTTAAAATATGAATACTTGTTCTAACTCAATTTCATGTTCTTAGTTTTGTTTGCTTAGCTACAGTTATTTTATTTTTGTATGTTCTATTTGTGAACAAAATATGGGTCAGACATGGGGTGCATTCAAGTTGAACAATCAGCTCTTATTTTGATTGGAGTCTTGTCGTGGTCCAGGAATGTTTTCTCTGTTGTGGTGCAGGAATGTCTTTTCCGTTGTTATTCTTACTTGTTAAATGTATTGTTCTGACAATGGAACTGGTAGACCCCTTTTAATAGATTGATAATGGATTTTCTAGATTCTGTGGATGTCATAATGTATTTTTCTGTTATGGTGCTATAACTACTGTTGTTAACTACAATAATTGGATTCGTAACTGATTTTCTTGATGCTGGATGGGTTGGCTTTTATTGCAGCTCTTGCTAGATATGACAGTATCCAATAGGAATTCAGAATATTTGTACTTATGTTTAGGAATGCAATGTGTTAGCCTTGATTGGTGGGGAAATGATTTGAGAGTTATTTGCAATTTTTTTGGCATTTATTCTTTTTCTTTTTCTTTATTGCATTGCATTCAGCTTTGAGTAAGAAGCAATTAAACTGAACTGGACCATTTCAGTTCAGTTGGAATGTCATAGCGTTGCTTTCTGCTTCCAAAAGTTTCTGTTTATTTGGTTTTCTTTGATTCTATTTTGTCTTGAGTCAAACCAATCAAATGCTCAGCCCTAAAGATGCACTGACCAATTGATTTTGTAGGCCAGTTGCACAAGTTCAAATCTAAAGGTGATAGTGGACCTAAAATAGCCCAAACGAACATGCCAATCTAATATGAACCTTACATTTCCTCAGCAGCCAGAATCCGCTCCCATCTGAAGAAGAATCTACACACAAAAACAGAGATGAGCTTATCAGATTTGCCAAAGAAGGAGGCTAACGTACTTAAAGGCCACGAAGGTGCAGTTTTAGCCGCTAGATTCAATGGAGACGGCAATTATTGCTTGAGCTGTGGCAAAGACCGCACTATTCGTTTATGGAATCCCCACCGTGGAATCCATATCAAGACCTACAAATCTCACGGCCGTGAAGTACGCGATGTTCATGTCACTTCGTAAGCTCTTTCTCCATTCCCATACCTTTAACTGATTTTTTTTTATTTGACAAAACTTTTAACTGAAATTCTTACATAATTAGAAAAGGAAAACCCTAATATTACAGTGACAATTCCAAGTTAATTTCTTGTGGTGGTGATCGGCAAATCTTTTATTGGGATGTGGCTTCTGGTCGTGTCATTCGAAAATTCCGTGGCCATGATAGTGAGGTATGGTATGTTTCTTTATACTAATAACTGGTTAATTATAATAGTTATATGTCATTACTTTGGTAAGTTTGTGTCTATTTTGGTTTTGTAGGTTAATGCTGTGAAGTTCAATGAGTATTCCTCTGCTGTAGTATCAGCTGGTTATGATCAGTCATTGCGTGCTTGGGATTGTAGATCCCACAGTACTGAGCCAATTCAGGTTTTTTCTCTTTTCAAGCGTTCTGAATTAGAATTTGTTTTTTTTTTTCGAATTAGCAGTTATTCTTGAAAAGTTTATCGATTTGATATAAAAATGATTTGGAGTGTATTTGAAATAACACACTGGTCTTAATATTATTGGAAGTTCATTATGTTTAAACCTCAAAATTTTTATGATTTCATAAATGTTTAACAAATCCAAAGAGTAGATTTTGTTCAAATCCAAATTCATGAATTCAAATTCATGAATCCAAGCACTGCATGTAAAATGTTGATTTATATGCTCAAATTTTTAGTTGATGTGCAGATCATTGACACATTTACAGATAGTGTAATGTCTGTTTGCTTAACGAAAACTGAGATTATTGCCGGAAGTGTTGATGGTACTGTCAGAACATTTGATATCCGTATTGGTAGGTATGTAAGGCAGTGATGAAACACACACTTTTTTGGTTTTATCTAGTTGGAGTACTTCTAAAGAACGGGTTTTGAATTTTCATTTATGCTGTGTGAAAAGTCTGTCCAACATGGGGTTGTGTGCTTCTTCTAATAGCTTTTATGTTTTGCATTTTCATGTAGAGAAATAGTTGATGACTTGGGACAGCCTGTCAACTGTATTGCCATGTCAAATGACAGCAACTGTATATTAGCAAGTTGCTTGGATTCTACGTTGCGCCTTTTAGACAGGTAACATTCTTGTATTCATGTGAATGTTTAACATGGATCAGATTGTGGGGTTTTCTACTAATTTTTGCTAGTTAATTATGACAGATCAACAGGTGAACTCTTACAAGAATATAAAGGTCATACATGTAAGGTTAGTTCATTGATGCTTCATCTTGCTTTGTTACCTTGTCTGATGCCTGTTATTTAATTTGCTAATACATTGTTTATAGTGACAATTATCAGTTCAATGTTCCTATCTGGCTAAATTGTTTTGCTTGATCCTTTTAAGGTTTCCATTTTCATTGTCTATTTCTTATTTATTTTGGTTGACTCTCCATCAGTCGTACAAATTGGATTGCTGCCTTACCAACAATGATGCCCATGTGACTGGTGGATCTGAGGATGGCTATATTTACTTCTGGGATCTTGTGGATGCAACTGTGGTGTCAAGTTTTCGTGCTCATGCCTCAGTGGTACATGCATTTAGTTTTCTTGGTTGCTATATATGTATTTTACCATGTCATCTTTTAAGGGGCTACTAATCATGAATGTTGTTTCATTCAGTTCAACTTTCAAATACATTTTAGTTTGGTTAGCTTTTTCAACTTTTCTTTTGATGACAATTTATGTGGCCTCTTGAATTATTTGTCTTGAACTCTTGGTTTCACTCTTAGCGAACAATCAAGTATTTTGAATGTTACCGGACAGGCAACATTTACCCTGCAACTTGTGGCATAATTAATACCATGAGTAACTTTGCAACATCTTCTATTCCATTTATGAGTCCTGATCCAATCTTCCTTTACTTATTTTCACAGAGAGCTATTGTATTCTGAATCTTTTACTTCATTTTGTATGATAACTTTTTCTAAAATAGTGCACGTATGATCCTAGATGCTCATTTTTTTTGTCATAAAAGAGTTCAATATGTCCTGTCTGAGAAAGGGTGGAAAGTTTTACCTAAACTTAGTATTCCTGTACATATCTGTCAAGATTCGTATTCTAACTGATTTTGTTGACTGCATTGGATAGAATGCAAACATGGTCAATCTACAAATAATTCGATGATCATTAAACCTGATGATATAGGACTCATGCTAGTGCTTGGAGTTTGTTTTCCAGGATGGGATTTTTATTGCTGAAATCCTGTGCATGACAAAGTTCTAAGTCATATTTGCCTGCTTGGAATTTACTAATTCTATCTGGACTGGGTTTTAGGATCAGAATGTTGTCATTCTTCACTTAAAATCAGAAAGCTCTACTAAATTTTCAAAATCTGATATATTACACTGTTGCTACTTGCTAGCAAAGGAAGTTGAAATTTTCATTCAGAAGTGTTTAAAGCCTGCCTATCTAAAATTCTATATATAGAGAGAGCATGTGGAATTTGGGACCACAATCAACTTGGATTGTACATTATTATACCCCTCCTGTGAAGTGAGTCTTCTGCCTTCTAGTTTTAACTTCTAAGCTTCAGAGCTCCAAGTGGTCCCTTGTGCAGAACTGTTGCTACTGTCTTATAGAATACATTGTTTCTTCATCTTTATTTTGCTCCATATTAGTTAATTTGACTTGCACCACCCATTCTTATGCCTGTTCTCTGCTATTTAAATTCCTAAAAATGGAGATCTTAAAAATGGAGATTGATTGCCTCTTGACCTTACTCGTACTATCAATCCAATTTGATCTCGATCAACTACCATTTCTCTGTTATATGATGCATATCCCAAATAGAATTATGATCTTAAAGCACTGTATCTTGATTATTGGTTGATAGAGTTCATATCACTAGAAATCATTGTCTGGGAATTTGATGATAATTCAATTTCTCTTTATGGTTGTTTTTGGCAGGTAACAAGTGTGAGTTACCATCCGAAGGAAAACTGCATGATAACTGCCTCCGTAGATGGTACTATTCGAGTTTGGAAAACTTGAGAATAAAAGCAAACGAGCTATTTGAAAATGTCAACATGGGATTATAATAGAATCTCTGAAGGTGCAATCGAGCCAACCCTATCTGTTCTTAATGTTATGAGAAGTTCTTATTTTCCAGCAGCATGCAAATGTTGGCCAGCATTTTCATGGTCATTGAGAGTTTAATTCCAATGCATTTTCTGTGTATTTGATGCTGATTCTAAACTGCTCTGTTGACATCTCTGTAAAATTTCATTAAATTTATTTCAGGGATATGGTCATTGGATTCCTTTTTTTTTTTTTTTTTTTTTTTTTATTTCAGGGATATGGTCATGATTCCTTTTTTTTTTTTTTTTTTTTTTTTTTTTTTGAATTACCAAAATAAATATATGGTCATTTTATTCGTCTTTTGACTCTTTACTAGTTACCAATTGTTCGTCTTGTGTGTGTGTGTGTGTGTAATGGGGAAGGGTATGTCAAGTCTTGCATGAATTTACATTAGACTATATCTGAGTGCTGAAATGTAAGTAAGTTATTCAATTTGATGTTCTTATTGGAAAAAGTTTGCCATTTAAAAAAGGGTAAGGATGTTTATAGAGCAATCGATGATATCAAAGCATAATCTTATTTAGACTGGACTGTGAATGAGACAGACAACATGAGCTGCTTGGGCTTGACTCATAAAAACTCGTTCAGAGTTCATTTGATAAGTTTATTCGTTTGCTACACCAGCTAAACTTGAGCTCATCTTAGCTTGTGAGCTTCACCACTTTTAGAGGAAATGAAAAAGCCTTTCCTTCAGAGGAATACTAATATTGTTCTCTAGTTAGTATGCTAGAAGGATTCTTTTATCACTCACTAGTTCTCTAGTTAGTGTGCTAGAGGGATTCTTTTATGACTCACTATTTCTTTCAAGTATTACTGCGCTCAGTGTCGACTTCATGGCGTGGGATCTTTGAAGGTCCCGAGACCATTATCGCGGTCTTAAATGAGGCCACACTTTTGGTCTTCGACGATTACACCACGGAGAGATGCATCACTGCATTCCTTCTAGCCAAGAAGGTATACTAGAAGGGGAATGTTTTTATTAAATTATTAAATTATTAAATTAAAGGCTCTTTATCTAAAGCAGGATGCCCCTACGCTGCAGAAAGCTTATGCCGAAGATCCAGCAAGCAAAAGACTCCATTTTACATTGAGCCTAGCCGAGCTCAAGCTTGGCTCATCTTCAGTTATCGAGCTCAGCCTGAGCATAAACCAAACTAGAGTTTGACTATTTTTAAGTGAGTCTGAGCTCGAGCTCAAGCGTATCATGCAACTCGGCTCATTACAGCCTTAATTTAGACAAAACTGTCTTTCTACTCTTTTCACTTGGATAGGCATGGCCGGTTCAGTGAACCGCCGGTTCCGGTTCCGATTCACTGAACCGCCGGTTCGAGATGTTTAAAATTTTACCGGCCGGGTTTCGGTTTCCGATTCACTGAACCGCCGGTCGAGAGTGTTTAGAAATTTTGGAACCGGAAACCGGACCCTTAAACTTTCGGTCCGGTTCTGTTGCCGGTTCCGGTCGAACCGACGGTTCGAATTTCACGGTTTTCCGATTCGGTTCCGGCATTACGCAAATTTTTAAAAAAAATAATAAAATTTGATGTCCGAATTCGATAAATAAATAATGAATTTAAATGTTTAAATTTATTAACTATAATTATTATTATAAAATTTAAAATAAAGAACTTCTATTAACTAACTTAGAACATTATTATATTAAATTTACAAATTTTTGCTAATTCAGCTAATATGAAGAAAACTATAAATGGAATATTAAAATTAATGAAATGAGTGGATATATTTATTTTCAAATACTAAGAAAGATTATTAAAAAAATTCGAAATGAAATGTAAATTTTTGAATTGGAAAAAATTGAGATAAGAAAGGAATTTTGATTAGATTGTAAAGAAAAATAAAAAAATAAACAGATAGGATAATGTCCATAATTAAGGAAAATAAAGCAATAGAAAAAAATTAATGAATATGAATAGATTTGCAGAAGAATTTCTGATTGGAGAATAAGAGAAGATTATGGATATAATTGGTTGTAGAAATAAAAAAATCATCAATTCATCATATTTTATACATGTTTCTCAGTTTATTAAGTTTTCCGCAGAATTATCCCTTATGAATAAAAAAATAGACAACTAGTATTTTTTGGTAATTTAGTAAGAAATAAATAAATAAATGATTCAAAAAAATGAATATAAGAATTTGTTTACCAAAAGAAAATGAAAGATTAGAAGTAAAACACCTATATATCAAATGAACTATTCGTTACCACTCTTTTTTTATAGCCTTGAAAGTTTTTTTTTTTATGTATTAAATCCAAACTCTGTTTCATGTACTTTTTTTGGTATTTAAATTAAGTAAAAGAAATTGTTGTATTTTTTTCACACTTTTTTATAACTTATGTACCATTGTTACTGTCTCTTCACCAGTAAATGTTAATCAATTTAGCAAATCAAATCGAGTAATATAAAATTTTTTTATAAATTTTTAAGCTCAACTTTTTGTGGCATCCGGGTTTCAAACCGGACCGGAACGCGGTTTCGGGCCGGTTCCGGTTATATTTTTAAGTCACGATGAACCTTTAAACTGGCTTTTGAAGCCGCCAGTTTCCAGTTTGCAAAATTATTGAACCCCACCGGTTTCGATCCGAAGTTCCGTGTCGTCTACAGTACGGTTCGGGTTCCGGTTAGAAAACCGAACGGTGGCCGTTGCCTGACGGTTCCAGTTCAAAATTATGAACCACCGGTTTCGATCCAGTTCCGGTTCGTCTACAGTACGGTTCGGTTCCGGTTAGAACCGAACCGGTGGCCATGCCTACACTTGGATACTTGCTCGCTCATCTCTTTTGCTAAAATAACTATTTTTGAAAAGTCTAAGCTGCATGCATCCTCAATATTTTTGCAGAAATATTTGCGATGTTGATCCAAGGCTCCAAATCAAATACCCCTCGATCATGTATACTAAGGCAATGTTTGGCCGGGGAAAGTGAAATCGGGAACAAGAAGCTTCTGGAGAATGATGAATTTCATTTTGTTTGATTCCCAAAGATAGAGAAGTTCCCGAGAAGTTGATGTGATAAATTCCTTGATCGTACGATAGATATCTTACCCTCCTCTCCTCAACCCAAGTCCACTTTCTGAAACATACAAAGCTTTGAAGAGAATTGATCATACTGTAGCGTTACTGAGTATATTGCTTTATATACAAGGATTAGGCGGGGAAAAATAAAATACAGTTATAGTTTGTTGCAAGTTTTATAACTAATGAAAATATCTAAAACTAACTGGCTTGACTTTTAAAGATAATTATGTTATGTTGTTGCTGCTGCAAAATTTGTTACTACAAACTGGAGAATTCCCACCTGGATAGAAAAAAAATTGAACACAAGACTAGAAAGTGTCTTTGTAAAAATATAAGCAAGTTGTACTCTAGAGGAAATAGGAATTGCAGACGCATCAAACCAGAAGCAAGCTTTCTCTTATAATATGATTTGATTATCACAATATAGGTTAACTGGCAGAGGATGAGAGACTTGAATCTCACAAGTTCTTTTAAAATACATGATTTGATTTATAAACCAACAAGATGTAAGGTGTTAATTGAGGGACAGCCAGGAAAGAAAAAGAAAAAGTTACAAATAAAGTGTGGCTGCTGGGATTCGAGCCCAGGTCTCCACGGCCACAACGTGGAATTCTTACCACTAAACTACAGCCACTTGTTGCTTGTTGCTCAGTTTTTATTTTTTATAAGGAAATTAAGCAGTTGTTTTATATTAACCCACAAAGTCAATTGGCAAAAGCCTATTCTCCACAAATCCAATAAGATTCGTAATTTTTAGCCTAAAAAAAAAACAGTGTCCTTCAAATTAGGGAGCACAGCTACCTACAATATTGATCGAATACAATTATTTCATATGAAATAAAATGTTGTTGTCTTTCAATAAAAAAATAAATTATGAGTGTTAGTGAAAATCCACGTCATTATTTATTTAATCTAGGCGATGCTAAGATTTTTTAAAATGATTGAACGCTTTATTTTTTATTATAAACTTATTTATATTTTTGGCTAATTTTTAAGAGGATAAATTTTTATTAGAGGTAATAGGATGATTTTTTTTTTTAATATTGGAAAAAGGGATTCGAACTCAAATCAATTGTCGGGCCGTATATACACTTACCACTAGGTTATGTTTTGGTGTACAATAGGATATTTAGGTTCTAATTAGGAGGTTATTTTTTCTAACTTTAAAATAAGTTATTTTTTCTAACTTTAAACTAATTTATTTTACCAATATATATATATATATATATGCAAAACGATTAGCACAGTTGTAAAGAGATAAAAGTCTAATGACAACAATGGTAAGAAGATAAGTTGTTTTATATTTTTAGATAATATTTTTATCATTGATAATACCTATTAGTTACATCCCATCAAGATAATACATTAAATTAAATTAAAATACAAATAACTCAACCATAAAATAAGAAATATTTAATTTATATCAGGAATTAGGTTATACAGACACAGGACTCGAATAAATAAAAAACATAATACTTAATTTTTTTATTTTAATATAATTAGTTTAAATTAAAATATATATAACCCAAACTATAAATTAAAAAAATATTTAATTTCTTATTTTAATGACAATTAAAATATATATAACCCAAACTATAAATTAAAAAAATATTTAATTTCTTATTTTAATGATTACCTTGACGTATGAGGCAGTTATATACAGAACCTAGATTGCACAAACACGGAATACGAGATACTGAAACATACGGGATATGATAATACGTAAATAATCATTTATAATAAATAATAATCATAAAATAAAAAAATTAATTTTTTATTTCAATATAATTAGTTAAATTCTCAAAATTATTATTACTATTGAACAAACACTAGAAGTTAGGTTGCACAAACACAAGACACGAGATACAAGAACGTACGAGATACGATAATTTTTGAAAAAGTAAGACATCCATACGCTTAGGATATAGTACACTAAATAAGTAATACATTAATATTTCAAACAAATAAATAAATATTTATTATAAATCATAAACATAAAATAAAATGTTATTGATAAATCATGAACATAAATGAAAAAAAATACTTAATTTCTTATTTCAATGAAGCACAAAAAGCAAATTAAAAAAACACCAGACTTTTTTATTGGCAAATTAAAAAAACACTTTATTTTTATTGATAATAAAAAAAA